ATCTCTCTGAGTATGCAAATGGAATTTACTTTCTCCAAATGAAAGGTGAAAAAAGTTTCAGAACTCTGAAAATAGTCAAGACTAATTAATTTTAATTATTCATCAATCCATTCTGAATGCGAATGCTTTCTTCATGCAGCAACTGGCAGATTTTTTCGATGTGCTGACGAGAAAGTCCCATCTTGTCAGCCCATTGGCCGCGCGTTTTTAAAATTTGCTGCCAGCGTTCTAATTGAAAAATCGTAATGTGATGCTCTTTTTTATACTTGCCAATTTCTTCAATCACCTGGGTTCTCTTTTTGAGAACATTCATTAATTCATCATCAATCTCATCAATCAGTTTTCGAAGCTCTAAAAGTTTATCGGTAGCTACAGGGTTATCAGAACTTTGTTTACGTTGAACTAAATTCGAAATGAGCTGATCTAAATTCTCCGGAGTCAGCTGTTGTGCCGCATCACTCAAGGCTACAGAAGGATCGTAATGTGATTCGATCATTAAGCCGTTCATACCTAAGTCTAAAGCTTTTTGTGCTACAGATGGAATAAGTTCCCTGTTTCCACTGATATGACTGGGATCGCAGATGATCGGTAAATCCGGGAACAATGTCCTCAACTCTATTGGCAATTGCCATAAAGGTTTGTTACGGTATTTCGTTTTCCCATAAAAGTGAAATCCACGGTGAATAGCGGCAATTTTATAAATGCCGGAATTGTAAATGCGTTCAATGGCGCCAATCCAGAGTTGTAGATCGGCATGCACAGGATTCTTAACCATCACGGGCACATCCACACCTTTTAAAACATCAGCAATTTCCTGAACACTAAAAGGATTTACGGTAGTTCGCGCACCAATCCATAAAACATCAATCCCGTACTTCAGCGCCAACTCAGTGTGTTGAGCATTTGCTACCTCTACAGTGAGTTTAAATCCGTATTCCTTTTTTACATCCACCAACCATTTTAGAGCTTCTTCACCCATACCTTCAAAGGCATTTGGACGAGTACGCGGCTTCCAGACACCAGCCCTGAATAAAGAAACTTTTCCGGTGTCTTTGAGTCCTTTAGCTGTAGCCATGAGTTGTTCAGGACTTTCAGCACCGCAAGGACCGGCTATTAATAAAGGACTGGAAACGGCCGGCAACCAGGTATTTAGAGATTCAAACTGCATACGAGAAGGCAAACGGCATAGGGTTTGCGACATGAAAATTACCGCTTTTACGGTATTAAAAAAATAACATAGATTAATTAGTTTTACCCATGATCATTGAGAC